ATAGTCTGTCGTTTGAGACGCCCTCTGCGATGTACGGCCACGGTAAAATTTCTCGCACTACCAATTCCCCTCCAATCACATCGAAGACCCACGACCGAAGCACGCAACGAATATCCTTGAAGGCGGTGTGGAAGTAAACTTGAGTGCCCCCATTTTTTCGGTCTTCCGGCACATATACACAGACAGCCGTTCAGGAGGCAGACATGACAAAAAGAGTCGTAAAACGTCACATGACGCGCGGTGCATTGGGCGTCGAAAGCGGCAGCAAAGACCGCCTGAAACGGCGTCAGATGTCCAGGAGTCTAGAGTTGATACTTACTCCGTATGTACGGAGTACTCTGTAACTAGTCTGATTGCTAATGCGCTGGCTGTCCCTTCAAGTCTAGCTTTTACCCTAGAAAAAGGAGCGGTCCATCCGGAACCTCTTTCCTTGATCTTCCGTCGAAGCTCCGACAATACGTATACCTAGAGACAGGTCTCGCCCAAGGCGCATTATTTCACCTCAATAATCCTCGCCCAAAACGGGATGATTTGGATTACCACGATGATTCCTTGCCAACTAGACCAGATTGGGATATTGAAGACGACTGCAAAGGAAGTCTCATCGCCAACAACCTCCTTCTTGTCTCTCGCACCGTGTCCAAGGAAGTTTCCCATCTCTTTTACTCTGGAAACAGGTTCCGGATTCACTACACCGAGGATTACGGCCTCCATAGACTGTTAAACCTCAGCGATAAAGCTTTCAACTCCATGACATATCTAGCAACCCTCCTCAACAGCTGTCCCGCTGGCTACGATATCGATGGAGTTTGCTGTTCGAAGAATGGACACCAATGTATCCGTCATCGTCCATGCAAACACATGCACCAGAAGCCTCTCAATAATACATCGAGACGGGACCAAAGGGTTATTGCGCAATGGCAGCAGACCGAGAAGCGCATCGCAGCCTCTATCCAGCCATCTCACATGAGCCTCTATCTCATCTGCGAGGTGGTCAATCTTCAAACCGCCCAGAAAATTGCTCAACCCTTCTTCGAGATGCCATCGTTGAAGAATTGCGGAATCCGGCTAGGTAAGGAACGTAATTAATCTGTCCAGCGATTGGCGGAAAGGGCACTCTGTCGCGCTACAGGTCGGCCGATTGATCAATTTGACTCCCACTTCCGGTATCAAGATTTGCCCAAAGAGATCCGACTGCTGGTACTCGAATAAAGCGATCTCATCGCGCCTCCAGAGATGGATGGTAGCCAGAAATGCATTCGCCCTTCTGCTCTGCCCTATGCGGTGCACCAAATCAGGACAGGGATGTTTTTGCTCCCGCAAGCACGCGGCGGCCTCGACGGACTGCCGCTATTTCCACAACCCATCCGCCATCTTTCAGGTCTGCCGAAGCACGAGAGAGGAGAGTTTGCGGGTATTCTGCTCCAAAAGCCACTTCGTCATCAGACCACGTCGAGGCTTCTTGAGCATCGCCGATGTCACGTACAATGTCCCGGAAGTTCACCTTTTCCTCGCACGAACACGAGATGGATTGCCATACCTACAATCCCTTGAGATCGCATTCCCGCCTGTTCTGGAAAGCTACTTCGATCTACAAGAGGAGGGTCTTCAGGCATGGATCGACGCCCTCAAGCTGCTTGAGACTGAAGCCATGTTGCCAAACCTGACGATCAAAATCCACATGTTCCGGACACCAGGCGAGTTGTTTCAGCTCAATCGCTTAACGCACATTCCGGGCTTCGAAGAGAAGGCCTTTACGTTGGTCAATCAGGTTGTAGGCCCAACTACCCGGCTTCAGGGGCTGAAGGATTGTTTTGTACTGGGAATGGCCTTATGATTTTCGAAAGGCAGAGTTTTTGAGAGAACAGGAGCAGATGCTGGAGAGGGCGGTTATGGGAGATGTATATGACAGTCGACTGAGAAGGGAGTACAAGCATCGAAGCATTTGGGCAAGAACCGAGGAGCATGACCATTTGGGGGATTTGGAGTGGTGATTACGACTTTTTCCCATTGGTTGCGAAACGCTTCTTCTCTCTGTCATGGCTAAAGGTTCATGGGGTAACTTTTTCCTGATGTGTGCTGGTGATTTTTGGCTTCTTTTCGTTGACAGTGGCAACTCATCCTTTTCTCTGGCCAGGTTAGCCATGTTCTATAAGCTTTGTATTCTTACTCCCTCCATCTAGCCCATCCACCATGGTATATGAAACATTTGTAATGTTTCCACATCGAGGCCCAACCAGCTCCTGCTCTTTCACTCCCACTCGCCATCTCATCTCGTTTCCAACCAGCATCTCTGAGTACTATTTCGCTCACAAGGCCAGCCACTACTTGGCAACCACAACATCGACGATGTATCTCCACACTCAACTCAATCATAACCTAGCCACTCCATCCCATCCCTCCCACTAACGCACCTACCACAAAAGCCACACATCCTATTCCTCCATACACCCTAACATCAAACCCGCTTCAACACCACCACTACATTCACTTCACTTCACTTCACTTCAGCTTATCCCTCCTCTCCCACCCGATCCTCCAAGCTCCAGCTCCAACATCCATGATCTGAAAACAAATCACTCTCAGTCTCTGGCATGCATGGAGGCATGCAAGCAAGCGAAGTACACCAAGGGACATTCAGGGGCAAAGACCTATCTATGATGGGGCAAAATAGTATCCCAAAATCTCATCTATCAACCTCGTAAGGACAGCCTTTATCGCCGGAAAATGTGTGTATCCTTATCCACCTCAGGGCTTGATAATCGTATGGTAGTCTACAATTCTGTCGATTTATTGAGGCACTTCGAGGGTGTGAAAATCGATGGTTTGGAATGTATGGAGGGGTTTAGGTGTTGTTACGCGGAACACCGTGCAACAGGGTATGGGGGGTGCTATAGAGATAGCGGAGAGTTACGAAGAAGCTATAGAAGGCAACTGTATGACTATGTCGATTGGTATGGTGAAGGCTGAACTATCTAAGTGCTATGGAGGCGAGGATAGAGATATGACGCGCAGGGCGCCAAGCCTGCCCTAGCCCTCAGCCCTAAGACCGGATGCGGCATAGCACTGGTGGAGCACTTGGCGCACAGCCAATGCTTGGCCAACGCCATGCCCATAGGGCATTTTGTGCCGTAACAGTTGCCGGCAGCAGAAAAAAAAAAGGCCACGGCCTCGTGGTCAGAGAAAAGAACAGAAATAAGCAGAAAAACAGCATCTCTTAGGGCTGAAACTCCTTCCGCTTTTGATCTAGCGCCGCAGCCGCCCTTGTGGCTCTCCATAGAGCGTCGAGCCGTCAGCTTGTCGACGCCCTCGGAGCCTAGAGAACTACCTCCTGAGCGTGTTCTAAAGCTGCTGAGTCCTCCCAAGTATCATCTTCCTCGTCATATCCTTCCCATCTGACTTTGTATGATATTGCCTCGCCATCAATGAGCTTGCCAACTATCTTCTCCACCTTCCATTATTCCATTCCTTGTTCGTCAATGTGGTCTGGCGGAGGGGGGAGGTTTCGTTGATAGGGATCATCATCAGGGCTTGGAGCAGGGTCAAGATGGATTTTGCTGATCACTTGGTGGATTCTCCAGGCCGCAGGCAGGTCCATTCGCAGCGCGTTGCCCTTGCCAACAGCCTCGAGGATTCGAAAAGCTCTAGTGTAGCGTGGAGAGAGTGCAAACTTGCGTGTAGAAGGCAGTGAGTAGCTCTTTGGCGAAAGGCGCAGCCTAGCCCAGCCGGAGTCAAACGATCGATCTTGGATTGCTTTGTTCATTATTACTTCTGCAGTAATCTGAAGCCCTTTGGCAGCTATATCTCTAGTAGCTTCGCGCTCTTGCACCAACTGCTCTAGCGCTTTTGGCATTAGCAGCGTTAGCTAAGTGCTAGGAGTAAAGCCGTAGATGACTTGAAATAGGGTCTGAGTAACGACAGAAGAGTAGTTGCTGTTAAAGTAGAACTTAATAGTGTGTAAGAACTCCTTCTAGTTGGCCTGTATAGCATTAATATAGAAATGTAGCGCTATTTTTAGCTCTTAGTTAATACGTTCTAATTAGCTATCTGCTAAAGGATGATACGCCGTAGTATAGATTAGTCGAGTGCTAGCTAGTTCGAATACTCTCTTCTATAACGCGGCAATAAATTAAGCGTCTTAATTAGTAGTAATAGTATTAGGTAAGCCATAACCTCTTCTGCAGAAAACGTTATCCTAGAGGCATTTGGCTTAATTCTTAGCCAACTGCGCCTTCTTCCTTGTTTTAAAAGCAACGTGTTTTAAGAATTAATTTATAATAATAATTATTATATTATGGCTGTCACGGCTGCCATGCTTGTCGCCCGCTAGCGCTAGGGCGCCGGGTATTGATTAGCACTAGACGTTAGTAAGGGGCATGCTTGCTATATAGAAGCGACCCCAGGGCCCTTACCGTCGACTCTTCAGTCTTAGGATAGCACTCAACATGGGCTGAAGATCTCGCGCACTCGTCGCCTGCTTCCAACGTGACACGTGACAATGGCTATCTTTAGGGGATAAATCAGTAATGAAATCTATTATTAAGGAGTAAAAAGGTTACAGAGGCACTAGAAGTGGCTTTAATAGTAGCACAAAGCTTACATAGTGTAGCTTATTTATTCCGCAGCCTATATAATAATATATGTAATTAAGAATCTCCTTACTCATCTTAGATTATTATAAGCTAGTAAGCGCTTTACACAGTCTAGTATAGCTGCTATAGAACTAATTATTATGCGTAGTCTTAAGCATTGCTTTTCTGAAGCTTTAAAGAATAACAAAGCATAGCTTAGCTTATTGTACGTTAATTCAGACCAGATTAGAGCCACTCTCTTAATAAAGTAGGGCATAAGGCTTATTAAGTAGTTACTAGAGGTTAGGAGCGAGTAAGAGCATGGCTTAAAGCTGCTTAAATAGCTTGTTAAACTCTTCCTTAACTTCTTTATAAAGCTAAGTAAGCTCTGCATTATCTAATCCTAATAATACTATGTTAAGATAAGCTTGCTTCTTCTCCTTAGGTTAATACTAGCTATAAAGCGTAACTAAGAGTCTAGATAAGGCATCTAGAATAACTATATCTTAGCCTTCCTTATAAATAATAGTTAAGTTATCTTAATACTAACTTAGAAATATAGCCTATCCTTGTTAATAAGTATTTATCTTAAGAGGAAATTATGTATATAGTAATTTTGCTACTAAAATTACTAGATTTGCTTAATAGTTAGTATAAATAATAGTCTTTATTTACTTAATATAGATTTGTAGATACTTAACTGCCTAAACTAGTCTAGATAACTCTAGATTTGTTAACTAATAGTTACGCTTAGCAGGCGTTAAGCACTTTAAGAGAAAGATAATAAGCCTTAGCATTATCTTTAAGGGCTTAAGAAGGTCTTTAGCTTCTGCGCCTTCGAGTTAATATATAGTAACGCTGAAACTAAGCTCTTTTGATGCGTCAAGAAATACGTATAACATCTTTGTAGGATCGAAATGATGTAGGATATCTGCGGCCTTAGTAAACGCGCTTTTAAGGTCTTGAAATGCGGTAGTATACTTGCTCTTTCAAAGCTCTCTGAATTCCTTTGCTCTGTAGCCTTTTCTCTCTTGCGGCTTTTCTGGTAGAGATCCCTTCTCTCTTCTAAGGCTTTAAAAGATAGTTATTTTAAGCAATTATAATGTCTTAGCGCGTTACGTAAAATAAGGAACTTGCTAGTGATGCTAACTTACAAAGCTAATAAAATATTCAAGGTCATAGCCATTCTTAGGTATATCCCACTTAGCTATAGCTGTAAGCTTCTTTTCTGCTATTAAATATCTAAGTCTGCTAACAAGTTTCCTAAGTGCTATAAGCTCTTAAAAGCTAAGATAAGTCTTTGTAACTTTAAAAATATAACTAGTATTAGTGAAACATTAAAATATAGCATCTAAATCATGTAAGTGCTAATTAAAAGGCCCTCTTATAAAGATATTAACGTTATTAATATAGATGTTAATAATCTTCTAAAGTAATCTAGTAAATAGTTGTTCAAAAATACGTTAGTTATAAGTAGGAGATATGAGGGCTTAACTAGTTAAGACAAGTCTCAACTAGAAGCTGGGTCCAAAGGGTTAGTTAAGTAGAACAAGAAGTGTAATAAATAACACTAAGATGTCTTCAACTTAGGTATGAGCTGATAACATGAGTTGACTACAAAGACTATGAAACTATCTAGGAAATAAGCGTGCTTATATAGGTTAAGAGATTCGTGCTTATAGCTGCTTACTCATGAGCGCTTGTAAGCGTTGCTTATTAGTCCCTCCTTATAAACACCTTGCTTAAGGTTGTCTCTGCATAAGTGTGTCCTTTCGCCAAGCCCCTTGGGCTTAGTTAGTTCTAGGGTCTCCTCACACAGGGTCTGTGTAGCCTTTAAGGCCTGTTAGTGCCTAGTGCGTTCACATACTATAACACTATCCCCTCCTCTCCTTAGCTTGGTCCTATAAGTTAAAAAAGTGTGTTATAACTTCTTAGGATTTTCTAATTTCTCCTTTTATAATGCCTTTATTTAAATCTTATATTAGTAAATTAAAGTCTTATATTTAATATTAAGCTTTATCTAAAAAGATAACTTTTTAAGGTTATTATATTAATATGCTATATTTAATATATAATTATAATAAGAAATCATGTTTCTTTTTTTTATATTCTTTAAAATATTTATATTATATAATAAAGAGTATTTTATATAATAAGAACTATTTAAAGAATATATTTTAAAAGCTTAAGTCTAAGAAGTAAAAGCTATAATAGGCTCTTTAAGCTCTTTATATATATTAATACTAAAATGCTTAAAAGACTAAGAGTCTTAATTATTATATAAAAGTACTTAAAAAGGCTTAAAGTATAATAATTACTTAAGAGACTTATTTCTTAAAGTAGAAAAAGCTTACTTAAGAATTATAATCTAATATTATTAAGATTAATACTTTTAATAAGTAAAAGTTAATTACTCTAATATCTTTTTTGTTTAATTTAAGTTTTAGTAATAATAATTTATAAGTGCCAAGCGGATCAACTTTAGAACAGGAATCGAACACACTTGTAACGACCTCAGGGGTCTATAGAAACTCGCTAAATGGGCAAGAGCTGATAGCTATCGCCTACGCGATTCCCCTAAGTTCACACCGCTGGCAACCCAGGGCGTCACAGCACACATCTTTGACGACCAGGTTAAGGTGCTTAAAGCCGCCTTCTTCCCGCCTCTACCGGAGGCACTGCTCAATGATATCGAAGACGCGGTGTACCCGCAGGCACATTACTGCCCTACAGCCATTACTAAAGAGGAGATATAGAACGCTATTCAGCGTACAGGGGCAAACAGAGCCCCGGGCCCTGATGGGATCCCTAACAAGATCCTTCAGGCCTGCGTTGACCAGCTTATACCTGCGCTTACCCATTTATTCTCTGCCTGCACGTTGCTAGGATACTACTCTTATGCTTTTCAGGAGGCCTATATACTAGCTCTAAGAAAACCTAATAAACCGGATTACTCTGAGCACCCAGCCTAAGATCCGACTCAAGGCTTAATGGCTCAGACCTTGTTAGCGATAACCACGGTCCTGCAACAGAATTAACAACTCCAGCATGCACCTGCAAAGTCAGAAAAGACCGCAGACGTTCCTATATTCAGTGGCCTAGGGCACAACACCCACAAAGACCTAGAGAGGTTTAGGGTGGGCCTCACTTCAAAATTCAGAGTTAATGCCGACAGATACCCCACGCCTATGTCACATGTCTACTACATATTCTCTCGACTTACAGATCGTGCCTCAGACGTCGCTCTAAATAACGTCAACAAAGAGATCTATCCGGATTAGATAGATCTAATCGAAGAACTAAAGCTTAACTTTGGTGATGCTGACCCGGAGTACTCTGCTATCTGCCGTCTCGTAAAGACGAGGCAAACGCACTAACCCTTCTCTGAATTCTATCCGGAGTTCAAGCAGACTGTTAGAAGAACGCTATTTCAGGACCATGGTCTTAAGGGACTACTCCGACTTGCACTATCTAAGGAACTCACAGAGAAGCTAGCCATGGTTAACGTCAGAGACATGTTATATAAAGCCTTCGTCCAAAAGTGCACTCGGCAGGACAACCTACTACGCGCTATGCTGTCACGACAGACAACCAGGTCATGGAAGCCGCCTATGAGTTCAACTGTCTCAGTTCCGGCCCCCGCCTGTCCCGTTGCGCCTGCCCCTGTTTCCTATGACCCTATGGATATAGATCACTCGGCCTGCAGAGCCTCCAACAAACGTGAAGCTGAATGAGAACGTTGACGCAATCTAAGCCTTTGTTACTACTGCGCGGGCCCGGACCACAGAGCTAATGCATGCCCAGAAAAGCTAAAGCCAAAGCCACAGAGCAACCTTTGTACCGTCTCTTCTACGCCTACTATAGCGTCCTCGACTCTGGTATTTACTCTAGCAACCTCGCAAGCAATTATACCTGTTACCTTAGCCTTCCTTACCCCTCTTCCTTTATCTAGCAATTATATTAATACAAAGTTATTAAATAAAGCAACCTTAAACTAAGTTATATTTAAAGGACTAAGAAGAGGTTAGTTGCTACTAATATAATAAATAGCCTAGTAATATAATTAGGTTTTATTTCTCTATATTTAATAGACCTTCCTCTTAACTCTAAGTGCCTCTTAATTAAGTATAACGTTAGATAATTTAAATATTAAGCTTTAATCAACTCTAGCTATTCTGTAATAGTATATATTAGTGAAGCTTTTGCGTAACTCTTCCCTTATAAAAAATTAGAAAATTAAAGAACTATAGTAGGCTTTAATAATTAGACCTTTATAATAATC